AGGGACCCCCTCCCCCGGGAGCAGTTTGCCCCAAGCCCCTGTGTCCAACCTGGCCTTGAACCCTGCCAGGGATGGGGCAGCCACAGCTTCTCCGTTCAACCCATCCCGGTGTCCCAGCACCCTCACAGGGAGGAACGTCTTCCTTATCTCCAAACATGTTCCAGTTTGAACCCATCACCCCTTGTCCCTTTGCCCCAGTCCTTGATGAAGGTCCCTCTCTGGCATCCAGAGCAGCCATCCAGCTAGTTCCTTACCCACCGGCTTGTCCATCCATCAGATCCACGTGTCTCCAGTTTGGACACAAGGATGGCATGTGGGACAGTGGCAAACACTTTGCACAAGTCCAAAGCCAATCCCATTTGCCAGGGGTGGAGTCACCATCCCTGGAAGCGTTCCCAAACCGTGTAGGTGAGGCCCTCTGTGCCTTGGGTCTTTTCCAGCCTGGTTGATTCCATGATTCCCTGACTCTTGGCTCCTTTAGGTTGACGAAACCGGCGTCGAGGTGAAAGACATCGAGCTGGTGATGTCCCAGGCGAACGTGTCCCGAGCAAAGGCCGTCCGTGCCCTCAAGAACAACAGTAACGACATTGTAAATGCCATCATGGTGAGTGCCAGGGCCGGGAACGGCTCCTGGTGGGATGGGGACAGAAATCCCCCCCCTCCCCCCCCCCACCATTCCCTTCTCTCCGCAGGAGTTGACGATGTAGCTGTGGGATGGAGGAGCCTTTTTTGGTGTCTCAGAGAAGAGTTCAAATGCAACTACGTTTAAAATTTGTACTATTTCTATCCGGGAATAAAAGTTGTGGCTTATTGTTGGTGAAAACACTCGGTGCTGCCGGTGCCGAGGCCCCAGGGTGGAACCTTCCTCCTGGGAAGATCGCAGCTGATACCCTGTCCCAGGAGCCCCTTCCCTCCTTTCCTTCCTGTCCCAAAGAACACCGGGCTCCAGCCTGGATGACTCCAGTGCAGGGTGTCACCTCCTCCATCCCCCCAGGGCTTCCCTTCACGGTGGGACAGGGATGGATCGTTGCATCTTCCAGCCGGATCCAAAGGGATGTGCTGATGGGAAGCCTTGGGGCGGGGTGGTCCTTCCCCTTCTACCAGGCTGGATTTGCAACACCAGCACCTTCCCGCTGCTTTTCCACCCCTATTCCATGAACCTGTGTTTGGGAATAGCTCTTGGGAGCCCCCTGTTATCCCACGGCTGCGCTTGGCAGGTTTCCTTAGGAAACAGTGGAGCAGCAGCAGGACTGGGGGGCGGAACGACGCGATTCCAGCCGGGACGTGTGGGAC